TATGACACTATTTGTTTTATTTTAAGCACCGTGTTAAGACATTTATTTTTGAAGGAAGTTATCATATGAGAGATGACAGTATAAGAGCAACAAATTTGAACTTGTATAATTAATTTAAACAGTTAATATTAAAACTAATTATAATTTATGACATTCTTATTCATTTATACATGGTTGAATGACTGGGATTAACTTCTCTCATACACTCACTAGATAAGCTCCTATTTTGAATACCAGATCTTTGTGGACCAAATTCGGATAGGTCTGTGTAAAAATAAAATATGGCTTGTTTCCCCGAAGTAAAACAGCATATAATTTCTTACATTTTAGAATTTGTGGGTATTAGGACTATATATATATACATATATGTGTGTGTGTGTGTTCGTTTATGCAAGAAAACCAAATTGTATCTTAGCTTGCTTAAGTCATAACTGTGTACACTTTCAAGATGCAAATTGTTTTCACCTATATTACATCATTTTTAATGGTGGATTTCCTTCTGAGTGTGATTTCTTGCAGATTTGTAACATGCTGAAAAAGAAGCACGAGGAAGCAAAAGACTTGTTAATTCGAGCCATAGTCAACGACAATAACTTGCTGATGCTTAATCACCCCATTTATGAAGAAGAAATATCCTCCCATTATTTTTTTTGTTCATTTCCTCTTGTCATTTAATTTTAGAGATTAATGCTCGTTATTTCCTTACATTTTGTGAACATTCGGAAGGTTCAGAAATTTGCTTCCCAGTTGATGTCTAAGGAGATCCAAACTTGATCGGCTACAAATTATTGCATTCGGAGGTATGTATGTAGAAAGATCTTTGCTACGTGTTGGCTATTCTAAACAAAAATTGTCAGGTATCAGTAATCATCTGAATTTAAGGACTGAATACGTGTATTCCTTCAGCGTTATCTGAACTTAACTAACATTTGTTTTCCTTACAATAAGAAATTATGAAAAAAATTTCACTTGTTTGATCTACTGTGGTTTTGAATTTGTATGCAGTCAATTGTGATGCATGTCTCAAGTCATTTGACCCTTAATTATCGTCTTACCTAAGGCATTCATTAACTCGAGTATCTTTTTAACTACGTACTAGAAAAGGAAAAAAGATTAAAAATAAAACAAACTAGCTTTTTCAACTGAAACCTTTTGCATTTCTTTGAAATTTCTTTTGTCAAAGACTTTTGACCTATAGGACAAAACGATGAGTATATTTGCAAAGCGTCCATCGATAAATCATTTACAATATTGAAAATGTACTACACGAGTACACACGCACATGCGCACACGTGTGTGTATATATATATATATATTAAACATTATTATAAATTATTTAATTTTTTATAAAACTCATGGATATCATTATGATCCTTCTCATCTCAATTAGACTGACATTTTAAAAACATCTATTATTTATCATCACGTGAAAATATCATTAAAAAGAATGGAAACCCAACCTTAACACGAAAAAAAAAAACAGGCCAACTATAAAGCTATACACCAACTAAGAAGTCCTATACTTTAAATGATTTAAATTGATCATCAAAATTTATATATTCAAAATTATTTTTAAAAAATTAGTTTAATATAATAATATGAATATGTTGTAGTTTAATATAAAAATGAGCCTAATTTATGCATCTAAAGTTAAAAAAGTGGATATTTCATCCCTGTTTGATCATTAATATTGAAAAAGTCCATCTAGAAATAGATTATCTGTTCTTACTTCTTTAATTATAATAAAAATTTACACGATAAAATTTATAACTTTCTAAAATTGACACTTCAGGATAACGAGATAAATGTCGTACATGTATTGCTATTGGATTGGATGTGTTGGACATGAAGACCGTAATTGAAGAGGATATCAAATCTTCATAGAACTCGATTGCCAATAAGTGTTTTCCCGTTAATCAAAGTGTGTATCATAGTAATTATAAGTTATACTATACATGATAATGAAGAATCATCTATTATTTTCCTCCTCTGTCTTGCTGAAAAGGGAGAAGGAATCTCTCAATTCTTCAGATAAAAATAGAATGTTAGCCATTATTTATATTGAATATAAACAGTTTCTAAACCATCGAGCTGTAAGTTATAAATTTAATTCACAAAAGTAACTTCTTTGGGCATTTAATTCTTTCCATCAACTCACTCATGCCCGGAAGGAAACGAATAACTAAGCATTAAATGATGAGGCATGATATTAACTAGCTTTAGATAAAAATAGTTATAAATATTCACTAAACATTAAATGCCAGGAAGGAAACGAATAACTAAGCATTAAATGATGAGCATGATATTAATTAGCTTTATAAAATTGTTACATATATTAACTAAGCATTAAATGACGAGGCATGATATGAATTAGTTTTAGATAGAAACGGTTACAAATATTCACTAATGCCCGCAAGGAAACCAATAACTAATCATTAAATGATGAGCATAATATTAATTAGATTAAGATACAATTTACATATATTAACTAAGCATTAAATGATGAGGCATGATATTAGTTAGATTTAGAAAAATAATTTGTATATATTATCTTATCTTTTATTTTTAATTAGTTTGTTATTATTTTTTATTTGTATTTATTAGATCATATATTTTTATTATAAATAAAGGATTTTAGATGTATATTTAACACAAGATATTAATTTTATACACAGTTTTTTTTGTTAAGAAATAGACTTTAGTTCTAACTCAACCCACAAAACCAGCTTGTAAGGTAAGGTTTGCACTCACTTATATATTATAAATTGGTCTTTTCTCTAGTCGATGTATATTTAACACAAGATATTAATTTCATACATAGTTTTTTTTGTTAAGAAATGAACTTTAAATCTAACCCAACCCACAAAATCAGCTTGTAAGGTGAGGTTTGCACTCACTTATATATTATAAATTGGTCTTTTCTCTAGTCGATGTGAAACTTCCAACACACCCCATCACGCTGAGGTATAGACATCATCTCAAGCGTGAGACTAGATATTTAATAGGTGGTCCGATAATGGCCCGATAACGGGTGAAACAACATGCCCAACAAATAACAAATAGCGCTAGGATAGACTCTAACTTGGCTCTAATACCATGTTAAAGATATTGAAAATTATGTATGAGATTAATCTCCCTCGTGTTAAATATACACATAGGGTCCTCTATTTATAATAGAAGAAATATGGGGTAAACCCAAAATACAAATAAGAAATAATAACAAATTAACTAAAGATAAAAGATAAATATAACATAAAGATAATATATCGAATAGTTTTCATTATATTCAACATGGTATCTAGAGTCGGGTTATTTTGAGGAAAAAAAATTCTGGTGTTTTTGTCACTACACCTCTTGTTGCCAGCGGCGACGCCATCTATCGTTGTCGTCAACATAATTGTCTATTGTCGTTTACTACTGAAACTACTGGAGTTTTAGTTTTGACCGACGATCACATAATTTTGATCGTCTCGGCCAGGCAACCACTGTGTCATCAATGACGCCTTCATTAGAGCTTCTACGTGCTAGTTGTGGATTTGTTTCGTCGTGCGTGGTGACATGTCTCGTCTCCCCTTAGGCAATGATTCAGAGTGTCGAGGTCGCTCTTTATTCTCTTTTAGGTTCGTCGTGCGTGGTCACACGTCCCGTCTCCTCTCAGACAACTATTCAGAGCATCGATGTTACTTTTTTCCTCTTTCAGGTGCCTTGATTGGAGAATCTTTGATTTTTAAGGTTTCTCTCATGTTCATCCATCACTTTTTTCGCTGTTGTCTCTTCTAACCTCCTTTTTGTCACCATTGCATTTGAGTCGTCCATATATGATTTTTCTCCCATGGCAAAGATGGCTTTTGTTACTTTATTTATAGCCGTGGTGAATTTTCAGCAATCACCTATTTATCCACTAGATGTCAACATTGCATTTCTTAATGGCGATTTGTAAGAAGAAATTTATATGGATCAATGATGGCATACCCCTAGCTAGCCATGGTCATGCATCTACAATAAGAGTTGAAGTCATCCATGAAAATGGTCTAAACTCTACCCTTTGAACCACCTTTAGAGCCATCATGGAGCATGAATTGAATAGTAGTGTAGGATATCTAAGCCATTGTATTCGACCATGTAGTGTATGTTTGTTTAAGGCTTGTATTAAGGCCTAAGTAGCATAGGATTTTCCTTAAGTTAGATATCCAAACCAAATGGAAAGTGTGTCATGTGTCATGCTTCAATTGGAGAAGATTTACTTTTTAGAATAGGCCACATGACACCTTGGGAGTGGAGATGATTTCTTTTTGGTAGTGACCACATGTTCCTCCACCATTGGAGATGATTTGTTTTTAGTATTGGCCACATGATACTCTAGAAATGGAGATAATTGTGTTTTGTGAGTGGCCACATGTCATCCCATCATTGGAGATGATTTGTGGGTACTTGTCCACTCTTTATAAGGCCTCATTTTTTGCCAATGAAAGCAAAAGTGGGAGATCATGCTTTTAGAGTTAGAAGGAGACACCCTTGACTTATAAATAAAGGTGTCTCTACCTTTGTATTTAATCTTTGATGTTGGGTACTGTTATGCTGTCGATTTTTTGCCATACTACTCATCTTAGATCAAGACTAAAACAACTCATGAGGCCCCTCTAGTCACATTCCTTCTTGAGTTGGCTTAACCTGTCTTGGAGCCACCGAACACTACATTACCACCGCCACCATATCTCCTAAAAGCCATGAGCTTTTATCCCATCTATACCTTAGCTCATCATCCTTGGACCATTTACCGCCACATTTTCGCACCATTCATCCAAGAAAACACCCCTCCATGCACATCTTCTAGTTTTGGCCCAACCTAGTCATGAACGTTGGTATCAAGCAACCTCCCAGATTTATTGCTCAAGGGAGTCTTCTGAGTTGATATTTTGTCTTTTATGTCGTCTTCACAAATTATTAACAATTTGTTGTCACTCGAGTGCAGAAGTAGATATTTCCACTAAGTCTTTATGAATTATATTACTAACAAGCTTAGTACATTCGATTTGTATGCACTAATTTTACAGGGAGTGTTAGATATATTATCTTTATCTTATATTTATCTTTTATCTTTAGTTAGTTTCACTACAATAAAATCGCGTATTACCGAAGGCTTATTACCGAGGGCCTTTTGCCCTTCGGTAATGCCTCCGATGCCTCTTCATATCCGAACCACATCTTCATTTAGCCATTCTCTGGAGAGATCCACCCACACACATTTCTTTTTCTCTCGAACCTACGCTTGTCTCCGATCCATATTTCGAGCTCCTCCGCCTCAGATCTTAATCCGCCAGCCATGGTTAGTCTCTAGATCTTCATTCTCCTGTACATTTCTCCCTTACCTCAGCCTAATCCACCTAAGAATCCATTTTTCACCGATTAAACCTATCCTCACCGTTCTATCTTCACTTTTGCCCGATTAAAACCTATGTTCGTTCCATTCCATCAATTCAATCGTTGAATCCTTTCTCTTCACCGATCAAAATGTCCCAAATCCCCAACCCTAGAATGTACACCGATCAAACCATTCAATCTAGGGTTTGCCTCCGTTTTCCGTCATCCGCTATTCTTCTTCTTCGATTAGCTCGATCTGTGCCAATTTCCATGGTTCCTCGTCGATCCACCTCGACCTGGAGCTATCAAGTGGTACTTAGAGCCTAGGTTAGGCGCGTCTACACGGAGCTAAGTATTTTCTTTGCCTTTCCATGTTGTCTTTGATTAATTGTCTTGATCTGTTTTGGTCTTGTATTGAAACTTTAGCACATGGATTGAAAAATACAATTTTTTTTCTTATTATTGTCAATACCCTGTATGAACTGTCTGTTGTGCTCATGTGAAAAGAATAAGTTTCTGTCATAGATTGCTTTACATTATTTTATGCTTTTTGATATTTATGTTCAATTCTAGCAGTGGTCGTGGAAAGGCTTTTGATATGAAAAATGATAGAGAAAA